AAAAACTGAGTTCCCAGCCGTCTTATGGATTGGATACAGAGTTAAAGGTCACACTGCCAATCCTAAAGTGTGACCTAACATTACAACAAAGTAAACAGAAAAGACAGAACCAGAAGGTCTTCCTACAATCCATAGAACCAAGAAACCAAAGTGCCACCACAACCAAATTAGCATAGTATACAAAAGACGGGTAGCATATGTGCTGTTTTTCTTTCACTCTTTTTTTTAACTTCTTCTTTCTTATATGAATGTCATTTATAAGTGGCATGTGAACGATCGATTGCTCGCAGGCCCAAAGGGTGCGGGGCAAAATAATTAAGGAAGTTCGTGAAAGCTTTACAGTTGATGCATTTATTGGCGATGTAACTGACTGGGAAAGGGTCTGCTTAGGAAATCTGGTAGGCTTTCCTGTTGTTGTTATTCCTACTGGTTTTAAGAACATTGAAGACCCACCGGAAGGTGGTACACGAAGAAGAAGTACAATCACAACAGGCATATATGCACCTCCTGACCATGATCACATTGTAAGTTTTTCTCTTTGACTGATTTTTAACTAGTAAAAATCAAATTATAAAGATATTGAAATTGTCAGGAGTGAAAAAAAATCTCTGGTCATTACTTCCTGGCAACCTACTGGTTGTTTTGGAGGTTAACTTGCTGATGTCATGGAACCTGTTAAATGACAATACGAGTTATACCAAAATTTTAAAGATGTAAGGGACTAATGTAAAAAATACCTTTAAATTTTATAAGTAGATTTTTGGACAAGATAATTGTGACCGACATATAAAAGAATTCTTGAATAGGAACGCATTTGTTCTCTGCATTTTGCCTTTTGATTTGTTTCCCCTTCCTTGCTTGGAGTTTTTGCAAGCAATGGCAAGAGGGGCAATAATAAGCTATGACACAGTTTTAAATGCCTTAAGCAATGTATATGATATTATGATTTATACTAGGTATACGTAGCAGCAGCCTATTCATTGTTATTACATTGATTTAAGTTTTATTTTTCACTCTTCTTCCTAGTCTTATTTGACTCTAGAAGCCAAGGTATCATCAGGAAATCTATCCCTAATACAAGAAAAAAAAAATAAGTGAAAATAAAAATTATGGATAGAGAGATAAATTGGTCATTTGCAAACATCTTTACTGATCTACTCAGTTGAAGTCCTACCGTGACATTTTCAATTATTCCTCGATGTGATTAATTTTAGATTCTCTTTCTTTGTAATCTTATCGTAATCATGCAAATATGGTTCTTATTTTATACAGCTAGTTGAACAGTTCCTTTTTATGATCCAAGACGCGAGTAAGTCTGAAAATGCTTTTGTATATATATATTCAGGCTCTAGCACTAGCCATGGCATACCAATCAGCTACCGATCATCACAAACAGCGCCCACCAATCGATGACCTCGGTCCAAATGATCCATCCCCAATTACGGGTACAACTCTTTTGCTCTCTCTTTTTTTCTATCGCAACTCTTTTACTCTCTTTAATGTCTATTTAATCAATGTGGACATACCTGAAGGAAAATTAAAATCTAATTTTCCTTTTTCTAGATTTAATAATCAAAAAACAATTACAGATTAACAACTAACAGTTAAATATGTGCAGGATCATATCATATATAAATCATGTAATTTTCATACTCACTTGTAAGCAGTCCAATCATATCATATATTGTAGGAGATGATGGTCCTTTTTTTTTTCTAATATGCTCCCTAAGAATTTCTTTTGGTGAAAAGAAAAGAGCGTATTTTACTTTATCTAACTTTACTTAGAGATAAGTGTTTATAGGAAGCATATAGGTGGGATCTTATAGGAATTCTTTCTCATAGCTATCATATTGAAATTCATCTAAATATCTCTTATGATCTTATACTTATAAGATCTCAAATCTCAACAGCTACTCTTGAGATTTTACAAATAATTTTTATTTAAACTTCTATAGTTCTATTTGCAAATATAGTAATCAATATATTTGCAAAGCAACACTAGAGAAAAAAATGTATTTGCATGTTGAAAATAACACATCTCATATAATATTTATGCAACCTAGCAAGCCCAGGTATAGTCTTTCATTAGACTTCAATGATTGGTCATATCAAAGTCAAACATATCCATTAAAGATAATGATACTCTTTCAGGTCTAATGATCACTTTAAGTATCTCTCTTGTTTTCTTGACAGCAATAATTACTAATCCAGTTCAACATATATACGCGATATATTATCATACCCATGTAACAATTATGCACATGTAATAATAAATAGATAAATCATAATTTATTTATTCATGAAATAAAATAAACAAATTGACTTTGTAGGGCATATATGCCCAACGTTATCATGATATAGTCTCGTCCTTGTTGATGTACGATTTTATGTCCATTATGAAAGCACAACCCATGCATTTTAATTAGTTGCTCTCTGCCAATTTATACACCTTCTTGGGTTTCTCTGGAGCAGGTAAAAGAAAGTCTCGATGAGGGAGATAATAGCAGATTGCGACAATTGGCGTAAATCCTCCATTGAACATTTAGTATGAAATGTTGTATACTTGTATCTACATTAGGTTCTTTCTTTCTTTTTTCTTTTTTTCTTCCCC